AGTCTCTCGATCTGCAGCCAAATTTTGTAACATCGCTATGTCAGCCAGAAGTTTTTGGACCTGATTGTTTTTCTAAGGGTACCTTGTTCACCTTGGGAATTGTTTTTGCTTTCTAAATCAGATGCGGTGTCATCTGTTTTTTAACTTCTTTATATTTGGTCTATGAACATATTTTATTTTAATAAACTATCATGCGGAAAGAACCTTACTACTCTGGATAGGCATCATGATTGCTGATGGACATAAGAAGGGGAGGGGGTGAAGTACTAGCTCTAGTATGGAAGTAGAAATACAAAAACACAGTAATGGATTCCTACAGCATCGTAATCATAACTGTTTTGCCCATGATTTGTTGAATAAGCCAAAACTGGTTTCACACATTGTGCTGAGCTGACAATCATAAACCATGAAGGCTGGTCCATTCCACATGCCAACCCAACAATGGCTTAATTTGATGCATGAGCTCCAGGCAATGAAACAGAGGTCATGCTATTCCCTGCACAAAAGCTGCCTCTTCTTACCTGAATTCTGTAAAACTCCAGATAGAAGAAGTAGAAGCCGCAGCAGCCCATTTCTTGCACACATGCAAAGCAGTATATCTGTCTTTAACAGGCAGGAAGGAGAATACACTGGCCAGAACTTCTTGTGGGATACAGTTCCAAAGGTCTTCAACCAGGTTAGACATCCTCCGAGCCTAGGAGCTGCAAGCCTTGAGGGTGACTCCCTGCAAAACTAATCCCCCCCACCCAAAAGAAAGGAAGAGCCATCAGCAATAAAACAGATGGATGGGGGTAAAGATTCATTTTCAAGCATTCCACTCTATGGGACGCCACACAGCCCAGGGAAACTAACGGAAGATCTGAACCAGCAAGTCATGCGCAAATGCCACACAAGGGACAATTCAAATTCAAGGTAGGAACCTTGTGTGGCATTTGTGCCTGACTTGCTGGTTCAGATCTTCCACAACAGATAGGAACCCTCATCCAAAATACATAGCACTAGGTGGGGAAGTCACCTGTAAAGCCAGCCAATGATGGTTTATTCAATAAGCCAGGTTCAAACAAATACAACTTCCTGCACTGTGCAAAGCCACTCACAGAATACTTTGTTGAACTTGGCTTACCATGTCCTGCACTCCCAGCCAATTCTGGCTAGGTCAGCCCAGGTTTAACAAAATCATTCAGCACAATGGGTGGGTTGCGTAACACACTTTCCCACAAATTAGCCAGCCTCTACTTTGGTTAGCAGCAAGCAGCTTTCAACCATTTCCCTTACGATGCCATTACCTCACATCCAAAGACTGCTAAAGTCAAGGGGCACCTCTAAATGTTACAGGATATGCGAGTGTCATCATCCCAACAGAATTCCTAAGATCCAACCGTTAAACATTCGTTTGCCTCAAAATATTCACCACCCAAATTCTGCAAGACCCCTAAATCTCATGAGGTTCCTACCTAAAACCTTGAAAGATTTGGGGTGAAAAAGCCAAACTGCTCTGAGGTTTGGTGATCTCACAGCACCAGGGGCCACCTGGAGTCCCCTCACCAACCCTTTAGAGCAGTGTTCCTCAACCTTGGCCACTTTAAGATGTGTAGACTTCGACTCCCAGAATTCTGGGAGTCAAAGTCCACACATCTTAAAGTGGCCAAGGTTGAGGAACCCTGCTCTAGACCACAAGTCACCTTCCAATCTGTGAACTTCAACTCCCAGAATTCTCCACCCCAAAAAATTCCTACCAGAAAACTGGGAATTGAAGTCCACACATCTGGAGCACACCTCAGTTCACAAACTATTTTGTTAAACCTGGGCTGACCTAGCCAGAATTGGCTGAGTTGAAGTTCACAGATTGGAAGGTGACTTGTGGTCTAGAGCAGGGTTCCTCAACCCTGGCCACTTTAAGATGTGTAGCCTTCGCCTCCCAGAATTCTGGGAGTCAAAGTCCACTCATCTTAAAGTGGCCAAGGTTGAGGAACCCTGCTCTAGACCACAAGTCACCTTCCAATCTGTGAACTTCAACTCCCAGAATTCTCCACCCCAAAAAATTCCTACCAGAAAACTGGGAATTGAAGTCCACACATCTGGAGCACACCTCAGTTCACAAACTCTACTCTAGTGCACCCCACAAACTCAAGCACCATAGTCACCATACAGGTGAATGTGTTGGGCAAACCCTGGAAACTGAGCTCCCCCCACAAAACCCCAGCCAAGTGAGCCGTGGCTCGCAAGTATTGCAACCACGGGCGGGCACCCAGCCAGCGATAAGGAGAAGTCTCAGCAGCTCACCGGAGGCATCGACACTCACAGCGCCTTACCCAGCGGGCAACCCCACTCGGGAGCCAAGGGGCGAGCAACCGAAGCGCCGGAAAAGAAGTTTGGAAGCTAACAAACGCGCACCTCCCCTCCTGCCACGACGGGCATCGCGCCCTCTTTTTCTGCCGCGGCTCCACGTGGCTCTCGAGCGGCACCTGCGCGCAATTAGCCACCCCGCCGCCAACCTTAGGCAGCGGGAAGGCAGGTGAATGCGCATGCTCGGAGCCTCACCTGCGCTTTAACTCTTTCCTTCCCGGAGGTGGGTCAAACGACTTTTCGTCGTTGGCGAATCGGTGGCCTGGCAATGAGGAAGGAGCTTGTTTTCCCCATCAGGGCATTCTTTCCTGAGGTTCACAAATGGAATAAACCATGGTTTACACAGCACACTAAGCCGTAAGCCATGTAGCCACATGTTGGCTTGGTGTATTGTATGAGCCCAGCCAGTGTGGCTTGTAATCCATTATTTACAGCGTAGTGTTTTGGGTAATCCTAGGGGGGGGTTGGTTAATAAACCGTGGTTAAGCAATTTGTGGCTTGACTTGTTTACTGAAGGCTTTGTTCTCTATAGGAGAAGGCTGATACAGTGACTTCTGTGGGATGGAGACTGGATGATGACTTGAAGGGGGATGCATGTAGGATAAGGAATGCAGTGAAAAGTTTAAAAACTGAATTGGGATATTGATTTTCTTTAAAAAAAACTGCTTAGAGTGGCTTTATTAGTCTGTCTCTAAACCAGTACACCACTTTTCCCAACCAGGTGATTTCCAGGTTTGTTGACCTTCGATCCCACAATGCCCAGCCGGCACTGAAGTCCAACCCACATCTGGAGAGAGAAGCCTGTTAAGCACATTCTTAAGCTGTGCATAAATAAGTCACGCCAACCATCTTTAAAACCATGTTGAACAAATGTTGGCATCAAGTGGAATTTTTCCGCAGATTCCACACTGAATGCTGCAATAAAACACTCTTAACATGTTATGTTTTAAATATAATGTTGGGGTTTTTTTTTTTAAGTTTTGGTAATGTTATCTTTACAAGCTTTCTTGAGTTTGAATTAATAGAAAGCCAGGATACAAAT